AACCTTTAAGAGACATTGTAACTTCTATTTTTGCAACCTTGGAAGCCCTGAGAGGAGAGAGAAATGAGGTACCTGGCCAACAACCCAACTGAACTAGAGTACGGTCAATTAGCTAGGTGCGTACCACCACGTGTGAACTTGAGCAAGACAGAAGAATCGACCAAATCCACAAAATCCTGAGAAATAAGAAATCATTCACTTTAAGCTATACATTTTGATGTGGTTATAATGCAGCAATAAATAAAAGAGTCATAAGAGAATGACGTTGTTATAGGTTTGGCATCTTTGCACCATAAGGTGAAGATATAAGAAAAACATTTACAAAAAGGATGTTTCATCAGTTCTGTGTCATAGTAAAGCTGAACCTTTAAAGGTCTTGGAATTCCCACCCAATTCAGTCTTCTGAAGTATCTTAAACATGAGAAAGAACTTTAATAATGGCTGAAAATTTTCAAACAACAAATGACACTATTTGACACTTATTGCTAAGTGTGTGGAAAACCCTGAACTACTCTGATAGCAATATTACTTATAATTGCTACAAGGACTTTATAATCCATGAACACAAATACATAACAATTTCCAGAAAAACAGAAAGAATATATTACATGTAAGCTAATTCAATTAAAATTTATAGGAGGAGAATTCAAAGTTAGAAGGAGTAAAATAAGAATGATGTAGTAGTATTTAATAAAATGAGAAAGTGTAATCAGGCAGGAAAGAATGGGAAGGCACTTTGTGAAGGGAACAACTGGAAAAGATAAGGATAACTTGCCTTCTTAGGAAGTGGGTGGGAGAAAGAGTTGCTTAAAAGAATATTTTTTAAACCTAGTAATACATAACTATCAAGACTCTTTTATTTGAAACCAAATAAAACTAACTGTAATCAAACTACCCAGTCCTAATAAGGAAAAGTAATTCAATGAATTATAAAACAAGATTTCGGAAATGATTTGATCCAGTGGGACAATTACATGATCAGGACTGAGTCTGGCTCTTTTCATGTCCTAGAAGGTGAACTCATTCTGGTGACTAGAATGCTAGGCTTATATTTTATACTACAAGCAGTCCCAGACTTAAGAGTTCCGCCAGAGACTCAGAATTACTTTTATTGTCCATCTCTTTAAATAATACCTGTGTGTCAGGTATTGTTTAAATAATACCTGTGCAATGTGCATGCCTGTAATCCCAGCCACTCAATAACTCAGTAAGATCACAAATTTGAAGCTAGTCTGGGCAACCTAGTGAGACCCTACCTCAAAAGGAAAAATAAAAAGGGCTAAGGCTGTAGCTCAGTGGTAGAGTGCCCCTGATTTAAATCCCCAGTTAACCACAACAACAGCATCAACATCAGAAGTATCACCGCCACCACTCTGTCAGGGGAGGGTTTGCAAGGTTCTGAGACATATGGACACTTCTCTGAAAGAGCTGTTCTAGAGAAAGAATGGCAACTCAAGAAGAGTTAAAATGTGGATGAATAGGAGAAAATGTGTGTGTGTGTGTGTGTGTGTGTGTGTGTGTGTGTGGCTGTTCACTATAATTAACATACTTTTAATAGAGTATGCTGATGTTGTAAACATCTTTAGAAAAAGACTTAAAAGTAAAAGAACTTCTATATTGACTTAGTGATGTAAAGAAATTGATTGTATCTATATGTGAGACACAAAAGTGAAGTTTATTAATAGTCTCTCAACCTATAGTTTTATATTTCTTACTGTATAGGTAATAGACCTTTCTAGGAAACTACTCCTAGAAGATTAAAAGATTTTATCTAAAAATGTACTTATTTGAAATTCCACAACATTCTTAACGAAAAAATATTATCTGCATAATTACATTAAATGGCTTCTGGAATACATTACCACTAATGATGCTAATAGAGCTAGTCCAGATGCAAACTATAAAAACATCCATTATCTTTTGTCCTTGAAGGAACTTCAAAAATTGCTTTTTTACCCTCTTGTAGGAAGCCTACTAATATTATACTAGAATTTATCTTATTTTGTAAACTGCTCTACAGAGCCTCAATATCTCATAAAAGTTTTAGGAATTATTTTAAGAATATACCCCATTATTTTGTGTTTTCCCCCCTAGGATTCAGTTTCATATATGATTAATTTAATGAATGTAATAGCCAGAATATTTAAATCTCATTTTTATATTTTCTTCCTAGCTTGTATTCAGTCTATAGATATTAGGTAACCGTATATACAACATAAAATATTTTATAAAAGAAATTAAGTTTCCACTATTGATAATACACAAAAGTTGAAATTAGGTTTTTTGTGTATCAGTGTTATGTTAGGTTATAGAATTAAACTAACAGCAGTGATAAAGTAATTGAAATATTCTAGGTTTTGGTTAATAAAAAAGGAAAAGTCCTACAAAAACTATGTTTCTAAAAAAAAATAGTAGTTTAAGCATAGTATTGGCACCAAAGTAGACATGAAGACCAATGGAATAGAATAGAAGACTCAGAAACAAACCCACATACTTACAGCCATCTGATACTTGACAAAGGTGCTAAAAATGTATGTTGGAGAAAAGACAGTCTTTTAAACAAATGGTGCTTGGAAAACTGGATATCTATATGTAGAAGAATATGCTTGTCTTTTACCCTGCACAGAAGTCAAATCAAAATGGATCAAAAACTTAGGAACTAAACCAGAAACCATGCATCTGCTAGAAGAAAACATAGGGTCAACACTCCACCATATAGGTGCAGGCACTAACTTCTGCAAGACCCCTAAATCTTAAGGGATAAAACTAAGAATCAATAAGTGGGTTGCTATCAAATTAAAAAGCTTTTGCACAGCTAAGGAAATAATTAAGAGAGTTCAGAGAGAGCCTTCAGAATGGGAAAAATCTTTGCCAGCTACTCTTCTGACAGGGGATTAATATCCAAAATATATAAAAAACTCATCTCACTCCAGTCAGAATGGCAATAATCACGAACACAAGTAATAATAAATGCTAGCAAGGTTTGGGGGGAAATGTCCACTTACACATTATTGGTGGGACTGCAAATTAGTACAACCACTGTGGAAAGCAGTGTGGTAATTCCTTAAAAAACTAGCAATGGAACCTCTGTATGACTCAACTACCTGACTCCTCAGTATTTATCCAAATGAAATAAAATCGGCACTATAGTGATACAGCCACTATAAAGTTTACAGAAGCACAATTCACAATAGCCAAACTATGGAATCAACCCAGATGGCCATCAATAGATGAATGGATCAAGAAAATATGGCATATTTAAACGATGAAGTTTTACTCTACCATAAAGAATAATGAATAATAGCATTTGCCTGTAAATGGCTAGAAATGGAGAAATCATGTGAAGTGAAATAAGCTAGACTCAGAAAATCAAACATTGAATGCTTTCTCTCATGCGTGGAAGCTAGAGCAAAATAAGGGGGAAAAGGCAGTGGAGAAGGGGATCAGATATCATAGAGATATAGGGAAGATCAGTAGAGTGGAAGTAGGAGAATAGAGGGAGAAAAGAAGAGAAAATGGAAGAAATATGACATGAATCTAACAGAATCACATTATGAACAAATATAAATGCACTACAGGGAATTTCTCCTTCACATATACATAGAAAGTACCAATCAAAAATAAATAAAGAAGTAAAAGGAAGATCATTAGAATAAAGGAGGGAGTAAGGGGGAGAGAACTGGGAAGGAAAAGGGAGGATAAATTTGGATTGAAACAGAACTCCTTGTATACATAATTTTGTCAGAAATAACTCAAATACTATGTATAAGACTCTAATAAAAAATTTTAAATAGTTTTCTATAGGATAGGCAAGAGCATGGTGACACTTCAAGTGTGTACATGTCAGGCCCAATGATGACTACATCTCAAAGACAAAGCATACATAATGGAAACTTCTGATACTCTTATATGTTGTGGACATTAGTACATATAGAATATTTTTAATCCTGTGAATAAAATGCCTTTATTTTCTGTAAATAAATTGTCAGTCCCGTGCCTTTTTTTTTTTCCTTTTCTGGGAAATATCTGTGTTAGGGTTCCCCAGAGAAAGAGAAATGGTAGGATATGTATTTTTTAAAATATTTTTTTAGTTGTAGATGGACCCAATATCTTTGTTTTTTATGTGTGCTGAGCATTGAACCCAGGGCCTCATGCATGTGAGGCAAGCACTCCACCACTGAGCCACAACCCCTCCCCAGGATATGTATTTTAAAGAGATTTATTATAAGGACTTGGCTCGTATGACTATGGAGGCTGGCAAGTCAAAAATCTGCAAGTAGACTGGCAGGCTGGAGATCAGAAAGTCATGCTGGAGTTGTCATCTCCAGACCAGCAGGCTGGAGCACTAGGTGTTACAACTCAAGTCCTGAGGCAGTTGCTGTGGAACCAGGAACAGTCAACCTTGCAGTTCAAAGGCAGTCTGCTTGAGAAATTCTGTCTTGCCATGAGAAGGCTAGTTTGTTTATTTTCTATGGGCCTTCAAACAGTTAGATGGTGAATGGTGCCATTCCCAGTCCCATCCCTTGGTTCCTGAACCTGAAAGTCCTGGCTATGGGAAAAATAGCACAATTATTGGATGCTGATTCAGAGTATATACAGCCTTCTGGAGAACCCTGTCGTATATTACAGGTATTGCCGCTTTGCTGGTGCTGTAACTGTGTTCAAAATGTCATTCTACTATTCTATCAAGTCCACTACTTCAGGATGGTAGGAGAAATAAGATGAGTGATTCCATGTCCCTGGATCCATTTGCTGTGAAGTGAGTTCCTTGATCAAAAGCAATGCTATGTGCAATACTATGATGGTGGTTTTGCAAGCAGGGAAGACAAATGCATATCCAAAGTAAATGTGTATTCCAGAAAAAACAAATGGCTGCCTCTTCCATGAAGTGAGCCTATGTAATCAACTTGCCACCAGCTGTGGTTACACAATAGTTAGACTCTTACATAATAATTTAGGATATGTTTACTGGCTATAAAATGGTGTAAGAACCAATAAGATCCAAGGGGAATTGACTTTTTTTTTATTGGTTGTTCAAAACATTACAAAACTCTTGACATATCATATTTCATACATTAGATTCAAGTGCGTTATGAACTCCCATTTTTACCCCAAATACAGATTGCAGAATCACATCGGTTACACATCCACATTTTTACATAATGCCATATTAGTAACTGTTGTATTCTACTACCTTTCCTATCCTCTACTATCCCCCCATCCCCTCCCCTTCCATCTTCTCTCTCTACCCCATCTACTGTAATTCATTTCTCTCCTTGTTTTTTTTCCCATTCCCCTCATAACCTCTTATATGTAATTTATTGAGTATCTACTATGTGCCAGGTACTAATCTAAGCCTTGGCAGTAATGTACAAAACAAAGTCTTTGTGCTTGCAGTGTTTAAAATTATAGAGCAGTAGATACATATGAATACACAATATATCAAATAATCATAAATAGTATAAAATATGGCAGGTTACAAGGGATAGTGATTAATGGGGGAAGGGAATATGCTATTTCATTTTGAAAGGTCAATATGGGCTTCTCAGCATAGGCAATATTTAAAGAGACTTGAAAGAGAGAGTTGGAGTAGTGAGGATATATGGAGAAGTGCATCCTAGCAAGGGTCCTCCTGGTGCAGAGAGCTGAGGTATGTGTGTGTGCAGGATGTGTTGTGGAAGAGGTGAGAGGGTAGGGTGTAAGATCCTACAAGTAGCCAGGGTAAGGACCTTCACTTTTATTCTGAAGGATTTTAAGCATATAAGCAACATTATCTGATTACTTAAAAAAGGAGCACAATAGCTGTAGAGATTAGGTTTTAAGGATACAGGGGAAGCAGCAGAGAGACTGGATGTAATAATCCAACAATAATTGTTATTTTGTAGTAGTTCATCCTGAGGTTGATCATCTGTTGTGTGCACTGGGAGGATGTGAATACTAATCAAAGCACGTTCACTTCAAAGTAACAAGTTATTTTGGTTCCCATACTTCTGAATTTTATATTTGTGTTAATCAGCTTTCCATCACTGACACAAATACCTGAGATTAAGAGAAAAGGTTTATTTTTTTCTCCTTCCTTTGGAAGTTCCAGTATATGACTGATTGGCACCATAGCTTTGAGCCTATGGTGAGACAGGACATCATGGTGGGAGAAAAGGAAGGAGCAAAACCATTTACCTAATAGCTAGGAAATAGAAGACAGGAAGAATAAAAGGGTTGGAGTCCCATAGTATTCTTGAAGGGCATGTGCCCAATGATCTTGAGACCTTTTTATGATACATATTTGGGATTAAATCCAGGAGCACTCTCCCACTGAGCTACATCCCAAGCCCTTTTGAAAATTTTATTTTGAGACATTGTCTCAAAAAGCTGCCCAGGCTGGCCTTAAATTTGCAATCCTCCTGTCTCAGCCCCCCAAGTAGCTGGGATTAGAGGTATGTACTACTGTACTCAGCAAAACCCCAATTCTTAAGATTAATTACTTCCAAATGGTGCAGTCCTAGGAAACAACCGTAAAACATATGATCTTTTGGAGGACACTTATCCTAACCATATCATAAATAATCAAAATTTCATCACTTATAGAGGCCTGATGCACTAAATGTGGTGGCAAAAATAAATTCATGAAAACAAAATATAAAGTCCAAATAAAGATATGTAGCATCTAGCATTTTTTTTCTCATTATTACCCAAATAACATATAGGGTTTGTATAGCTTAGACTACTTTGGACATCTGGGGTATTTGTTTAAAATGTAGTTTTGAGGGTTCTATCTAGTATCAGACTATCCAAGGGTTGGGGATAGAAATTTACATTTTAAAAAATATCCCAGGTTGTTCTTACATATAATGATGTAAGCAAACTTCATGAGTACCAAAAGAGCATTTTAGTGATTTGAATGTTTTAAAGCCTAACTAGGTTCAATATTAAGATTAAAAACAAAGGAGGATCATATACTACTTATCTCAAATCCTGTAATAATTAAGATGGGATACGAATTAAGGAAAACTAAAGTTGCATTACTCTATTCTAAAGTCTAAGAAAAACAGTGAGTTAAACTATAATAAAAATTGGAGGATATGACAATAAAACAGCATTAGAATGGAGCTTTATAGTAAGAATGACCTTAGAAAACTTACAGAACTTCTGAGGAAATTGAAACTCAAAGTTAAATAACAGCTGAGAAGTAGCAGAGTCCAGACTTTTTTGTGACTTTTGCTTTCCTTCTATCCTCCTATCATTTCCATTGCTGTACTATCAATGACCCAGGGACATTTCTACTACTTAAGCTTATTTCCTACAGAATTAGGTGATACTGATATTTGGGAGAATCTCCCCCCCCCACCACCCAAAAATTCAAAGAATGATGATCTTTCTAGAAATTCAGAACTTAAACCCACACAGTTAGCATACAGTAATTAAAAAAAATAAGATGTTATTTCCTTTCATATTATTTAGACATATTTTGGCTACTTATAATGAGCTCAAATATTTGTAGGAGACTATTGTACTTGAGGTGTTATTGACTAGAATTAAAGGTTCCCAAAACCTTTTGATGTTACTTACAATGACAGGAAGAGAAGCTCTGCTGTCAATGACTAGACCACATAATCTCTGGCCAACAGAATTTGAGTAGACTTGAGCACTGTATCCACTTGGAACACTTTCATATTTCTGCCACTCCTCTTGCTTCAGAGCCTTTGCCACAGAAGGGTATAGGCCACATAGAGTCTTCATGTACAGACTAGGCCCTGGCTGGAGTGAACCTGGACCACCCCTGCAGTGCAGCCACAGCAACCAATTCACAGGAGCCAGTAAGCCACATGAGAAAATCGTATTGCTGAACATCACTGAATTCACTGTAGCCTGAGAAAAGATAATATATACATGGACCTAAATCTAGGCCAAAAATCTGATACCTTAAGTAAAAAGATATCCAAAGTAAATATTTTGAGATTCCCAGACCAAGCATTTTTCTTATGAAAATAGGTAAATACCTTATCAATGTTCCTAAAGTACATTAATGATAGAATACTTTTATGTAGTTTTGAGCATGGTATATGATAGGTATGCATTTGAGTTATGGTCATTTGTGTTTGAAAAATGGGTATAATGAATTTATGTGACAATTTCATAATGTAAAATTTCACCAACATGCAGGAAGGAAATGTCACAATTTATCTGGGGATATAATTTTCAAAGTCCATGGAAATATAGGAGAATTTTTTTAAAAAATTATAAGACCACAAACATTCAATGCTATATCAGCTTACATGATTTATGTCAGATTTACATCAGCAAAAAATAATTTGCCTTTCCTTATAAGTTTTTCAGAGATTTTCTTCTTAATATTCCTTATTTTCCTATTTGTGATTATTGAATATGTTAGAAAAATTTCTTTTTATTCTTACAATGTATCCAATTGCAAAGAGGAATTTCATAGATCTTCAAGCACTACTTACTACTTGACTCTGACTACTGATAAATACTACTTGTGGGCTTTTTTTTAAGAAACTATGAGGCCAATGTTTAATAACTTCATCTGGAAGTGATGGCTTAAAGCTAGTTCATACCAACTCAAAACAGCAAAGTGTGTGAATCTCATCCCAATTCAGCATTAAATGACTTCACATTGATGGCCTGAAATCAGCTATGGTTGGAGAATTTACATAGTAAAAACTGGAAAGCAATACAAATCAGGGCTTTTTCCTCCCACAAAATTGGTTAAATATTTATCAGTGTACCACTAGATTTAAAAAATCCACCTTCTTTATCATTTGGTATTTTAATTGAAATACTTTAAAAACAGACTAATTGGTTGTATGGGGGAAAGATTTAAGATTACAAAGTTAAAACTAAAGCTAGTAGCTGCTAGAGGTATGGCAGAACTGAAAGCACTGAGGAAAAGTCTAATGATGCTCCGGAAGTCCTTTCTACTCCAGGCCTTGGTAAAATGGATGCACCTAAAGTAGGAAATGATACCCATGATTCTAGCAAAGAGTGCACATAAATTGGAAAGCAGAAGACATTTTGACAAACAGAGGCAGAACAGTCCTCTAACATTACAATAGTGTTTCTCTTTTCTGTGTAATCATACATAGTCAAAAACACACTGATGACAATGAGGACAACATATGCTAGGTACATTAACATTGAGGTCTTTCAGTTTTTCAAATATGTCTGTTTTTAAAGACTTAGAAGTATTTATTTTATTTTGGGTTTCATCAGGTGGCATTGCTTTTAGGACTTCTAAACATGTTTAAAAGCTATCAGAGCTTCAACTATGTCAATTCTTCACTGAGTTACCTGTCAGCTAAAACATCTCAAGAAAAATGGTGTGCCAGGATTTCTATTAGTATTGAAAATTCCCTGAATTTTGTTGTAATCTTAGCAACAACTTAAAAATATCCTATATAAAACATCACAGAAATATAACTTCCACTAAAAAAGTTTAACAAAATGAAACATATATTAAACAAATGTTTTAAATCACATGACCAAAGTATTAGTCAACTTTCAAATCTTCTTAAATAACAAAACATTTCTATTAGAAATAAACTACAATTCATAACTTTAACAAGTTTGTTAAAAGCTATACTAGTGAATACCTTTCATGTTATGCCATATAATGCTGCTTAGTGGCATTTTGCAAACTGTGCTCTGAAAACCAGAAGTTTCTAAGAAATGGTGACTTATTCTAGAAAAGACTGGTGAATATGACAAATCTTAACTCACCCTATCAAGGTATCTAAGAGCATCTTAGAGGCCCTCAAGTTCAGCAGCAAAGATGTCTGCCTAACTTTATTTAATCTACTGTATCTAACACTATTGTTTTTGTTATTTATCTATTTATTTGTCTATTTATCTATTTATTTGTCTATTTATTTTGTGGTGCTGGGGATTGAACCCAGGGCCCTTGTGCATGTGAGGCAAGCACTCTACCAACTGAGTTATATCCCCAGCACCCGATAATATTTTACTACAGAATTTTTTTCTTGGAAAACACTGATCTTCAAAAATGGTTGTTGGTTATTTATATAATTCTTTATACTCAGGCTCCCTTAGCCCGATCTGTGCCAGGCACAAAACTATCAATATATTTTTGTTGTCAATATAAATATTGACTATATAATATAGATGGATGAATGTCTTACCTGGGCATTAGTAAAAAGGTGAAACAACTTAAGAGCTAATAAGTAATGAGGAGAGGGCCTTCTACAAAAAAGCAAATACATGATACTTTGTAAATAAAAAGGGAAAACACTGTGTCAAACTTTGGCTTGTTATAAGTAACAAGTTTTTGAGTAAATACATTTTAATTAGGAAAAATTGCTAAGAAAGTAGAAAAAAGTAACAGCGTAAACTCCATTTAAATTGCAGATTCATGTATTTTAGTTTTAAAAATGCATACAATAACATCTCTGATGTCATTTCATAGCGTATGTATGGACTGTTAGTGTTCTGCACATACATGATAGCTTATCTTCTAGGCTTATCCTATTTAACTTATAGGAGCTGTGTTACAAACTTATGGACCTAAACTTTCCATTATAAGGTATATATAAAGACAGTGTCCTGAAATGATCAGTTCTGAAAGTGAGCTAGTGAGCTACTTAAGTTTATTATTTTAAAGTATAGAAAAATAATAATAACAGACATTCAACTTTTTATGCAAACAAAATCTAAACATCTTAATCACTTGTCTGTACAGGTATTTGTTACAAAACAAAGATGGAATCTTTGGTGTATTCTAGGCAATCTATGAGATCATATGACTGTGTTAATTTTATATTTTTCCTTAAAAAATTTCCAGTTTTCTTTACTCATTGTAAAATTCAAAAATTAAAAATTTCCCCCTGAAAACAGCAATTTTGACAGAACTATTCTTCCCTTTCAAAATGCAAATAAGCCAATAGTATCTATATGTTCAAAAATTTAAACCACAAATTCACTTACAAATATCTTAAGTATACTTCTTGCTGTGCCAAAGTAAAAATCTTAAAGTCTTTATCAATACTTACAAAAATACACAATAAATCATAATCTATGATTAAAATAAAAAGACTCTTAACAGAATGTTAGCTCATGCCAAAAACCCCTATTCTAATAGCTATGGTTAATCTTATAGCTTAGTATACTAACAGTATATTGTCAATATGAAAATAGAGATGATTATTAGTAAGAGTCATTGACAAGATTTTCAGGTGATAAAAAAGAAAAGTTCTTCAGACATACCAATATCAAATGGGCTAAAATGAGAAGAAAACTAATGTGTCACTGATAAATATATGATAAATGGCTTTGAAAATAAAAATTAGTCTGTTAGTATTAGGAATCCTTTAATAACTTCAAGTAAAAAATTAAAAGCAAACATTCAAAATTAATATACCTGGTATCCAAATATAATTTTAATTTACTATTCTTGCTTAGTATTATTACACTTGCAAAAGTGAGCTTTTGTTTTAGCTAATTTGAAGAAACCTCCACTCACCAAAAAGCTTTTGCAATAAATTTTTCTTTTCTATATTTTGGCTCAAAACTAAGCACTCAACAGGAAACTAAGGATATTAATTGTCTATATTAGATATTTTTAAGATCTTACTGCAGAGAAATTTACATAAGAGTATCATTATATTATGCTCTCAAACATATCAGGGACATATCTTTTTCTGTTACTAGCCACTTAGAAAATAATTTACCTTAGCAAAACACTAATAATTATGCAAAAATTTAAGACAGTTGTAAAAGCTAACAATGAGTCATTTGGCTTCAGATTTTAATGTATAGAGTCTACATAAACTCTTGTTATGGTAAACAAAATATTCTATTTTAAAATCTAAATAGTAAAATGAGAAATATAATTGAGAATATGTTTGAATATGGCTTATAAAATTAGAAATGGACAAACCTGAATATACTAACTGATTTGATAATACTCTAGCACAGGGGCTAGAAATTAGGTTCACAAACCAAATCCAGCCTGCCCTTCAAAGCTGTTCTTCAATGGCTAGAAAAAAATATTTTGTAACACATTAAAACTCTGTAGAGTTTGACTTTCATTGTCCACAAATTTTTATTGGAATTTGGACACATTCATTGATTTATGTATTATCTATGATTGTTTTCACACCACAGTGGTAGAGTTGAGACTCATGTGATACTCTCAGCATTCTGCACTGCTGCTTGGTACACTAAAAATTATACTATCAGTATATTGAATACCACAAATTGTGTACACACACACACACGTACATACCCAAACCTTCCATTATATTAAAGCAGTATCCTGAAACAAACTAGTTTTGAAAGTAAGGTAATGAGATGCTGAAATTTGTTTACACACACACACACACACACACACATATCCTTTATTAACAATGTCTGCCTATAATGTCAAAACAAAAGTAAACTTCAAGTGATAATACATTTAAGGCATAATAGAACGAAGATTATTTTGTTATAAAATTTGATGGCAATGCATGGTATTTAACATGCAATGATGAAATAGTTGCTCTCAAAGAATGTGTTAAAATTACCAAGCTAAACACTCATTACAAAATCTTTAATTTATAGGAATGTAGTGGTCAGAAAAATTAGAAAATTTAAAACAAGATAACTCACCACAGCAGAATTAATTTATGAAAATCAAGCTGTCAAAGTAAAGGACTGAATTGGTATAAAGAAAGGAAAGCCTTTTACTGATTTCAATCTTTTTACTGCATCAGCTGAAGAAAAGTAACATGCTCATGACTATTAGACTTTTGGCAAGAACAGTTGAAGAACTGAGAACTCTAGGAACCACATCAACAGTCAACAGAAGAAAAAATAATAAAACAAATGACCATGAGTGGTCTTCCTTGGCTCCT